ACTTTCTGTGAAAAACAGAAAAAAAAAAAAAACCCAAACAAACCCACTCATATGACTTTATGAAGTCAGTGAGTATTTGTTCTACCTGCCAGCAGGTGAAAGTCGTATCACATGAACGTGACAATCACAGCGACACACAATGATGTAGAACATGATAGTGATGTGCGATACCACTGATTTCCTTTCCAAGTAATATTCAGGGTGGTATCGATGATACTGATCCGATACCGATACTTTGTATAAAAACTTGTTTTATTTATTGTATCTCAAATTATAGCGTCATAATGATTACAGGACATCAGATTATTTGTTCTTATCACTTAATAATGCAGAGTTCATCATATAGAAATAAAAAAACTGAAGTTGTGCCTATTTGAACACCTTGCCTGCCTGCAGCACTAAAGGACTCTGTGAGAGACGTCTGTCTCGCCCTAGCAGCACCTGTCCCTGTCCTCCTCTTCAGTTCACCTCAACATACCCTCGTCATATTCTGTGATAGGATTTACTCTGAGGTGTTTGACAAATTTGTGGTGTTGTCACAACACCTCAGTGTCTTGCCACATGTATCACAAACCACGTCGTTTGTGGATGTAAAATGACTCCAATCACGCTCAGCCATTGTTGTGAGTGCGCACGCCAAGGGTCTGCGACACATTTATACAGCCGTATTTCGCACATGACTATGAAAGAGGAAGTAGTTCCTTCCAATGTAGACAATCTGAATGTTATAGTTTCTTTCCACTGTGTTCTTGTTAATGATAAACTACAAATATACCCTAAATTACTGAAATATCGATATTTTAATGTGAGAATCAATTCTAGAACATAAATGACTGGTATCGGAGGAATCGATATTTCAGGATCGACCCGCACATCATTAGAATATGAGCCAACAGGCCACGTGCTGACTGTGCTCTAAAACAGCGTGCCATCATGATGATGGAAGCACTTGATTGCTATGATGATGACGGGTTTCATAAAGCACTTATAAATATCATCCGTCCCCGTGTTTGAATTTAGTTTCAAAAACTTTCAAAGAAAAGACTTTGTTTGTTCTCAGTAAGTGACTTTAACGGTATCCTCGCAAACCCATTAGTCTCTGTATCAGCGCTGACACACACAAACACAAACACACACACATACAGACCGTCTCAAACCAACCAAAAATAAATCCATTAAAAAAAAATATTTCAGTATCCTCTGAGTCAAGAGGACTCTGTTGCCATGGTGAATCATGTTTTAATGGAGACACCAATGCTGGTAGCCCACTTATGCTTATGTTTTGTTTCTTTCCCTCCAAGTCTGATTTGTTTTTGTTTTTTTATAAAACCAGCAGCAGAAGCAGGAACAGCTTAAATCACACAAGGGGGAATAATTATCTGATCAGTTACACACAATGAAGTCTTTTGTGTTATGTTTTTTTTTTTCATTTTAAAAGAGACAGAACATCAACAAATGCATGAAGGCTGTGTATGAAGTGTTTTCATGTCCCTGAGTGAGGTAAGTATTAGATGTGCTACAACCCAGCCAGAGGCAGTACGGTGGTGCAGTAATTAGCTCTGTTGCCTCACAGCAGGGTTTGAATCTCCCACCTGGCCTTCCTGTGTGGAGTCTGCATGTTCTCTCTGGGTTTTCTGTGTTTGGAGGCTTCCTCCCACAGTCCACAGACATGCAGTTAGTGGGGTTAGGTCACCCGGTGATTCTGCAGGTGTAACTGTGAGTGTTACCCTGTGATAAGCTGGTGACCTGGCCAGGGTGTACTCTGGCTCCAGATCCTTCAAGTTTGCCAGTGAACATCTAAAGCAGGAGTATCAAACTTAAATGCTGTGGGTCACTGCTGGCTCTGTCATCTCATTGAAGGCCACTTTAGTGTTCAAATACTAAAAAAAACTAACTAACAAGAAAACACCCACAAATAACTCAGAAAATGTAGTGTTGGAAGTGTACTGTGGTCACATGAAACCAAAATCAAGTTCTCTGCCATCAACTCGAGAAACGCTGATGTGACCCACAGAGCAGTGTCCCCACAGTCAGGCAGGGAGGAGGTAATATGATGCTCTGGGCTGTCGTTCTTTTTAGGGTGCAGGCCAGCATCACGCACTGAGAGGTCAGTGGACAGGAACATGCAGTGTGGAATCTGAGATGAGAACCTTGTTCTCTCAGCCAGAATACTGAACATGAGTCGTGGATCAGTCTCCAGACCTCAGTCATAGAAAACCTGTGGAGGAAGCTGAAGCTGGGAGGTGCACAGCAGAGAGTTTCTTTAAAGAGGAGAGAACCAAAGTTCCTGCAGAGAGGTGAGCAATCCTGGTGACCAGTGTTGGTCAAGTTACTTGAAAAAAGTAATCAGTAAGTGTTAGATTTGTATTGTTTATTGTCATTTATGCTTAGAAATATCTACTCATATATGCTTAGAGTTGTATAATCAATGTCATGTTGGTAGAGGTTTGATCCTTAATAGTCTGCAAAGGCTTTGTGTGCATTCCAGAGTGTTCTGGCATTCACACAAACATCCTGGGAGCATGGGAGAGGACATACCTTCTCTTATTGTTTCATGGTAGGATAAATGTAGCTATGTCAGTTTTAGTCCAAGTGCCTTTTGTGTAGATGAACTGCTGGACTTCCAGACCAGCAGGTTTAGGGAAGTCTTTATGGGGTCACACAC